GCCAGCTAGTGTGTTTCAGCAGCAACAGGACGAAGGAGTTAGGGGTGGCAGGACCAGCAGAATGCAGGACTGCAGAGATGGTGAAATGAGTGTGGTCAAAAGGGACAGATGGATGGGGAGATAGGTGGACAAGGGGAATTAAAGAGGAGGCAGTCTCTTCTCTTACTGAGGCTTGGGGCTGGGAGGGATCAGTCCATGAATGACTTGGATCGGAGAGGATCCTTGCCTAACTATTAGTGTGATTCAGTTAGCAATGTCAGCTGGGACTGCCGGGATTCCTGTTGCTAAATGATGTGATTATGTGACATTTGTTTTATGACTGCATCACTTAGCGATGGAAATTCTGCTCGCAACTGCTGTTGGCTAACTCAAGGACCTCCTGTAGTATTGCCTTTTTAGTATTCCAGTTTTTGCAGCCTAGATTAGTGGAACCATGTAGACAGCTAGTAGGAGTTTAATCTTTATAGGATTTGGATTGCATGAAGACAATTTGGGAGAAATTGTTTGAAGTATTAATTATAGTAAAGTTAAACATACTTTACTGTTAGTGGAAAATGCTGCAACAAACTAAGCAAAAGTGAAGAGATATAACAATGCAGGGGTGAAGTTAAAATGTCCTGCTGCTATATTGTCATCATATTTCACAGCAAAGGGTACATAAAGTTATTTCTAACAGTTGTAAATGAATTTGACCATTGCGTATACATCACTAAAGTTGTGTTTGATTGAATTTTGCATGCTTTTTGCATGAGAAAAACTTTTCATAGTTTTGGGTGAGAGGAAACTTTATAAAACTGAATGTTCCAATTTCCCTGATTTGTGTCTTTCTGTTGCTGATGATAGCAATAATGTCTCATCTGACTCCATATGAATAATCTTTTTATTTTTCCAAAAATGAAATGCAGAAATAGCAATGTAGAACTGCATAAAAATCTTATGCATGCATCTTTGTCACTATAAACACATTAAGGCACCCTCAGGAAAGATTACAATCTCAGAATTGAGTCTCATCTGGAAGCCTCCGCACATGCTTAACAAGCCATTTGCTTTCAAACGTTTTATCTGCATGAAACCCAATTGCTATAGTAGACTGGTTGAAAAACTTCTCCCTGATAAATCTGTTCAAATTGCATGTTGATAGTGGTAAAAGCCCTAAGCTAAACTGAGCAATGGTCCTGTTCTCCTTTCTTGGTTTCTTACTCATTTACCTCTTTCTCATCCTGATTTTCCTTTTGCTTCTTGATTTATTCTCACCAAGTAGGCTTTGAGAAAGGAACATGTCACCAGAGGCCAAAGCCAATTTCTTGCAGGCAATATTTGGGATTTGGCTGAAGGCTATAGGTTGCTTGCCTACCCTTAGTTCATTAAATGAAACTTATTATTGCTGGTCTTGGAGCTACTTTTTAGTAGATTTAAGTGGATGGCAGACCTACTGATCTCGGCTAAAGATTCATTATAGAGTTTTTCTGTAGTATGATGCATTTATAGGCTTTGACTGCTTTTTCTCCACTCATGGTTTGGGATCAGGGTTGAAATTGACTAAAAGAAATCGCCAGAAACTTTTTTTAACACTGTCTATAAAGTGGGGGAGGGGGGACCATCTAGTGTGTATCTGGGGGAAACTGTTTATAGAGCCAAATATATCTACTAGAAAAAAAAACAGCACCCATTAGACAACTGTTTTTCTGATATTACTGTACTTTTCTCCCCTTTTCTCCTTCTTGGTGATACACAAATGACCCTAGGTTCAATATATTATGAACACTCTCCTTTTGCTTGATATAAAACTCATTGCAATCATATACTGTCAGCAATACTCACATAAGTATTCTGATGTAGCATAATGCAGCTTTTTGTATTCTTATAACAGTACAGTCATCTAATTACATCAATTTGTATGCCACCCCAATTATAGGAATAACTCTTGCATTGCAAGGATCTTGATGTTGCATACATTTACAAATATAACTCCTGGCATGCATACTGCACATATTGACTACCACTGAAACACAATAAATTGTTACATGAGTCAAGGTGGTTCTGAATGTTTATATTTATCAAGTAATGTATGCACATTCAGTATCTATTAAAAGAAAGGTGAGGTTGTATTGATTAATTTCTGGAAGCAACATCAGCCTTGTGATATTGGGAAGCATTTTAACACATCAAAGTTATCACCTAACCATTGAACAGTGAACAAACCAAAGCAAAAACAGGTTTTATAAATCTTATTTGTGGGAAATGGTGACTTGATTTTTGGGAAGAGTTTCATATCCTCTTCTCGTGTTGTGATAATATAATAAAAGATCACAATACATAAAGTCTTTCTTTACTTGTTTCTGTCCAGAAGTAACAGTGGCCTTGCTTTGTTAATAATTTTCCACCTTTTCCACAAATTAATATAATTGTCTTTAGATTTTTTTAAAATCTCAGGACTGTTTGATCTTCATTAATCATTGGTATTGGTTGGCATTAAGCTTGCCTCCAAATATAATATTTATTTGGATTTTGGCAGAGATCAATATCTATCTATTAGGTATTACAACACTGGGAAAAAAAGAGAACTTATGTAGCCTAGTGGTTCTTAAGTTATTAAAATATTTGGAAAAGAGGAGAAAACAGCAGTCTTAATTGAGAGGAGCTTCTTCTCCCCTTTTGATCCTGTGAATAAAGAAACATTTCAGAAACCCTTCATATGTATATATGAAAGGATATAGTGGGGACATACATTCTGTAATAATTTATAGGCTGTCACTGGTATGTTGCATATAATGGTTCAGTGATAGGGAAAGATGTAACCATGGAAAATGTGACATCATGTGCTACATTCTGTCTATGACTTTGAAATTCAAGATAATATCTCTAGAGAATGACATTGCTGGTTAATATTGGTCATGCTTGATGTACATCATATTGCCTTTGTTTCCTGAGAGGATCATGCTGCCAACACATGATTCTTCAGACTAGCTATAAAACAGGGCAACTCGTCAGAGTGCTGTTAGGTAACAGACTGAGCTTAATTGCTGACCATTGCTTCTTATGCTGATTATGGCTTTATTAACACTCTTGACATCACTTGGATAAAAATTTCTGGCAGTGCTTGCAAATATTTTGCAGCAAATACATGGAATGTTGAAATAGAATTGTACTATAATTGGGTTTAGAGGTGCAGCTGGGTTTAGAGGTCACTGTGTGGACTTCAGTGACCGATGTTGTTAGGTAGTCTCACATTTTATGAATATCTGCATATCCAAGGCAAACCAGGTGCTGACATAAGGCCACTATGCTCCTGCCATAGCAATCAGATTTTGCTACTCTCTGAATGGTGATTTAGAGCCCTAGACATTGAGCCTAAATCCCAGTCATAAAGGCATTAATTTCTTGACTGTGTAATATAAATCCATGCCAAATTTGGAAGAGTAAGAACCTGGACTCAAAAGCAGCCAATCTGCTAGTTCAGCTTCAGATTTACTTGACAAAATTGGCTAGGAATACAGTGGTTTGAGTTTGGGGAAAGAAATTGAAAATATACTTTCTAAGGTCAATGATTTACAAATACCAGAAATCCATTACAAGATCAAGAAATGTAAGATTTTTTTTTTTAAATAGTATTTTCATATTAATCCTATTATTCACTAATAACCAGTGAAAAATGCTGTGATGATTATCATAGTTAATTTTCTTGTTCCACATATGCAAAATTATATTGTAATATTTTATTGTAATAAAGTAATTAATCTTAATTATGTTAAATGATCACTAATGAATTAAATCATATGTTAATTCATTGTTCCTACTTTTAGAGATTTTAGTTTTCTGTATGCTTCCTTTTTCTAATTTTGCTATTATTTTCCTACAAAAATGGACTTGCATATCTATCAAATTTGTACTTATAATATCATTGCACTTGCTACCCAGCCTCCTTTAATTCATTTAAAATAAGATATACACACATCTGCAATCAATTATGAGTAATTATGTGAATAGACAAAAAAGAGGATGGGTACACTTCAGAAATATTAAGCCTACAATTTAGGCCAAGAACATGGAAGCTCTTGCAGGAGACTCCAACTGGCCATGAGGCATGGGATATTTTATGTATATGTGGATCCTCATTTCATTTTGTAGAAAATAAAATAATTTCTGATTCCATACTTCCTATAAATTGTTAGTTATAGGAGAAGACTGATTTTTTGTGGCCAGCTCTCTTTTAGAGAAATGTATTGTATTTATTCTTATTCCTATTATTCTTATTAATACTATTTATCAATCTTCCCACCGAGGAACCACTTCTTAGTTTCCAGGATCTCCTGGAACAGTTTATAAAGTCAGCTGTTAGGGGAAAAGTTATGCTATACAAGTCAGTTTCTTGATGCATGCCCTGTTTGAGTCAATGGGCTGCTAAGTTTAGGATAGGCTTTTGGCCTGTATCAGAATGATTTACTCAGTGGCCAGGTTTTCCCATTGCACATGCCTGCATAGCACCGTGAAGTGAGGCAAGCTACATATCAATAATACCCACAGTAAAGATGATGCAAGACAAGTGAAAGCACAGTGACAATGTCAAAATATTAATTCATTATCAGTTCAGTTTCCAACAAGGACAATTGAAATAGCCTCTGAACTGCAGATGCAAATAGCAATCTGATCAAGACCAAGACAGGAATGAAAGGGGTGACTCAATCTCTTTCTACACTCTCTGCAGTTACTCTAATGTTCTTTAAAAAAAAAACACACGCACACATATGGAGATTGTGTTCAGGCAATTAATGTCATATCTAATTTAGCCATTAGTTGCTGGAATGAAAGCAAGTCTCTAAGGCCAAAGAGTATTTTTAATCTCTGAGGTGGGGAACATATATAAACATAAGATTACCAGGTTTCTCTAACGCTTTTGTGCCAGTTAATATTTGACCTAGAGAAGAGAACAAGGAAGAGTCTATTGTATAATCAATATGCCATGGAACTTCTTCGTCTAATAGAACTGTTGTTTCAAACAGATACAAATTTTGTCCTGGGTAATGCGCAGATAGTGGATTGGCCCGTTGTTTACAGCAATGATGGATTCTGCAAGCTGTCAGGATACCACCGAGCAGAAGTTATGCAAAAGAGCAGCACCTGCAGGTATTTCAGTACAGGCTTACTTACAGTTACTGGCTTATATTTCTATAAAGTAACTGGTCATATTTCTGTGTTTTTGGTCAAGCAAAATGAGTCCCTTGGATTTTAAACCACAGAATGGGTACTGTCGAGATCAGGGAAAGAATGACATTTTGGATCCTTTCTATATTCTAAGAAGCTTATATATAAGGTGTTCCCATCTAAAGGAAATTGTGCATGTATCTTCAAGTGAATCTTGACTATGGGCAACTACTGGACAAGATTTTGGAAGTTGTTTGACCTTGGCTCCTTCTGAGCTGAGAGAGTGTGATTGGCCCAAGATGACCTACCTGGCTTTGTGCCTATGGCAGTACTAGAACTCAAAGTATCCTGATGCCTTTACCACTACACCAAATTGGCTCTCATTTGCTCAGCCAGAGTTTTGTAGCAATCTACAGGGCTGCACAAGGATTTGGACCCAAATTTTCTTAAAATATAATCTACAATAAGTCTGGATTTCCCACTGATAAGTCATGCTTGTAAACCTACCTTCAAAATTTAGTGCCCATCATATGTTAAATCACAACCCCCTACATTCCCAGATTTTATGGCTCATATGTGTCATAAGGTTCTTAGTGCATATCTGTTGAGATTATTCAGATGAACTTTTGACCTAGATTTCCTAACAGAATTGTCATATCTTCTTTCTTTCTTTACTCTCCCACCTTTTACCATACTATTAAATGATATACCTGCAATTAATTCCTACTTTAAATACTATTGAGGAACTGATTATGCAGTTTTGGTTTTATGTTCTTGTACTTTGTAAGAAATTGTGCCAACAATGCCACATGTATGGCCACATACCCTCCTTCCCTTCCTATTTTCTCCTTCCCTTTTTCCTTTCCCTTCTCAGTTTGTTGTGCAGCCATATTGTTCAGTCTAGCTTTTTACCAACTGGATTCAGATTTCACAGTGGGGTTGTTAATATTAAAAAAAAGTTTCTCCCAACTTGCTTCATAGTATCTACATGGACACATTCGAGTTGTTTTCTTGCAAACTGGTCTGGAACTGGTTTACTCTTGCTTTCTTCCAAGCTATTATTAAATATCCAGACAGTGTTGTGGGACTCCTAGGTGGGTTTTTTTTTTTAATCAGCGTACTAACCATCTTGAACTTGCTTTCACTTTTTGAGGTTATCTGAGGTTATTTAGGTGCTGTGACTGTTAAAACTCTAAAATAAGTTTTCTGAGAAGAGGAGAAGTTGGGATCTTTGCTACACTTGAAGGAAGAGGGCAAAGTTAATTCCCTGTGTCTAAATAAAACACAGTATGAAATTGCTGTGCTAAACTCTTTGCCCTAGTTGACTCCACATTTCTTTGATTCTTCCCACCCTTCTCTACAGTGGGTAATGTAGCACTACTGAGCTAAACAACTATTGAATCTCCCTTTTTGCCCCAATCAGGTTTTTATCCTTTCTCTTGCCATGAACTTAATGTAGTTTTATAGTATGCTAATTGCCATTACTGGTTGCCAAGAATCTTGGGGAATTACACTTTTGGGAATTACCAACAATCTTCTATTTGAGCATTCCATAGTCTTTTGTCTTGAAAATCGAATTACTCAGTTCCCCGAGAAGAAATGGCTTCTAAGGAGTGCACATGGAACACATGCAGAAGTTGGCCCAGCAAAAAGAAGCACATAATATGTAGAAGCCAATATTTATTGTGAAATTCTCATTGTATAATGGCTTTTAGAGAGGAATCTCTTCTTCCAATTCGGTTGTATCCAAAGACACCCAAGCAGACTTCTACTCAGGATAGGATTTCATCATGCTACCCTTCCCTCTGCACTATCCACATCTTTTCTGAAATGTCATCCAATCTCTAGAACAGATTTGGGGAATTACAGGAAGAAAGGGGAATTGGTCCCACCAACAGGATGTGGTTTTGTAGCAGAAAATATCATTTAATAACCTCACTTAACAACAAATTGTTATTATGGTTCTTATAATTTTTTTTAAAAAAATATTATTGAGCAAGGTTAGTAAGTCTCTCAATGCCAGTTGCTGATTGGAGTGGCATATAAGACAAGCCAGTCAATCCCATTCTCTATGAAAGTGAGTTCAGAAAGAGTACTCAAAGAACACTTAATACAACTTAAGCCTGTTGTGCCATGAGGTCTTGCCTGTGATTCTCATCTGTCTTGTTTGTTTATTTCCTTGCAGTTTCATGTATGGAGAGCTGACAGATAAAGACACAATTGATAAGGTTCGGCAAACTTTTGAGAACTATGAGGTGAACTCATTTGAAATCTTGATGTACAAGAAAAATAGTAAGTTAATTTTCTGGCTTCTTTTTCAACAATGTTCCTTGAAATGGGTTTTGCCACTGTTGCAGGAATGGCTCTTGTAGGTATTTCTCTCCCTGTCCTTTTTCATTAAGAGTTTCCCAATGACATGTGTAGTTCTGTCCTATTAAGAACACAAGCAGGTTACACTGGAATGATTTTTGCAATGCTAACTGCCTTTTCTACTTTTCACTTCAAGATCAATACATTTTTCACATGGAACACCCTTCATACCCAATGATAAACTGGAAGATCGAGTAACATTGGTAAGGCATGTGCTAACATCTGGGCTACCTGGAACTTAGAAGTTCCATCATAAGACTTCCCAACAGCTTTTACTTAGGGAAAAAGATGTACACAACAAACTGAATTCTTTCCCCCAAGAAAGTAGCTTAATCATTCATTCCTCACATTAATTCTCTAATATAAATACCCAATCTCATTATACACTATTTTCATAGTCATTCTGTACCTGCCTGCTCCCTCACCCCCGGTTGTCTAGTAGAGCTATCAAAGATACTTGCCATGGAAGCAGGTGTGTGTTCTACCTACCTTTACTACTTGTTCGCAACGGGGCCGTGTGTGTGTGCTTGCTTCGCTCGCACATGCACGCTCTTTTGTGCATGCGCAGAAGCATTCTGATGACGTCAGGGTCGGTGGGCAGAACCTTCTGCCGGTTTTACTACCAGTTCTATAGAACCGGTCTGAACCAGGGGCAATCCACCACTGCATGGAAGCAGTTTTCCAGAGGGACCAGTGGTGCTATAGATTCCAATCTCTTGGTGTCTACTTCCAGTTAAAAATCTACACAAAAAGCCTCTTTCTTAGGATTCTTTTTCCACATTTGGAAAAATGTTTGTAACATTTGTTTATATCAGATAATTTTTGTAGCAAATAATATTGGAATATTTCATGTAAAACCACATATATCTTATGGGACTTACATTGATAATTAAGTATGTTAGAAAAATGTATGTTATAAAAATTGCAAATGAAAACAGCTGAGAATCTTTTTTATGGATCTTTAAAAAAAACTACATAAAAATGGACTGAGATATTGCCTCTAATACAGAGTGTTACATTGTCTGGATTTATCTTGATCCCTGATAGTTAACAACAACTTCAGGGTTATTGTTAGGGTGATTGTTAACAACAATTTCCATTTGGAATGTCCCATGAAGGAAAAAAATAGTTGATTCTAGTTCACCTAACATCCTGATTTCACCTTTTGCTAAGAAAAAGAACCAGAGAATTCTGGTCTGTTAAGCCTCTTTAATTCTCTCCATAAACTGGTAACAGAGTTGATGATTTCCATGGCTGTTTATTTTAGCAGAAGTTTTATCCTCTCAGGCAGGTTGTCTTTCACAGTAGCATAACCACTGTGTCTAATCTGTGAACCACTGTGTCTAGCTGAAGAACCCTAGAGAAACTATTGAGATTCCTGGCTTGCTAGCATAAGAACTACAAATTAAAAAACTGCTTAGGGATAGGAAGAATGAGAGTATATCAGTCTTCCAACTTAATTAGTCCTTGGCTTCCCTGCAGTGATCACCATAAAGTCCCAGCTGTGATGTACTTATGTGAGAAACTTCAAAATAAGATACACATGGCATTGACTGGTACTGGCAATCTGGATACATTGTTAGATTTGCTTGGCAATTTTCAAAGATTCAGCACAACTCTTACAAGAACCATGTAAATACTCAGCATTGTATCGTTGCCTGTTGTCATCTTTTATTTAATTTTTTCTCTTTCTAGCCAATCAGGTTATAGCAAGAGATGTTGCCAACTCTGAGACAGGATTCTGGATGCAACAGTCCTATTGCACAAACCTGTTCATTGTCAGTCTGTAAGAAAGTCCAGGAGTATCAAGAGAAGGATTTGTTTGTACTCGACAGTAATCTTTCACATCATACTTAGCATGAAAAGCTGCTATAAATGAAATCGGAGCAAGTGAATTGGATCTATTGCTCCATTCAAAACATAACAAAAGCATCACATTAAAAATGGCCTGTTGGACCACACCAAAAATATATATAGTTCCATATTATTTTGCCAAAGCCTCAGTAGCTGCACAAAAACATATACATTGTTCTGATCATATTTCCTCACAATTGATTTCATTAACTAGAAGTATATGGCTTCCAGTGGGAGTAAGATATAGCCATCCAAACTATCAATCATTGTTATATTTTTGCTCTATGAATCTGTCTAATCAAAATTTGAAATCTATCCAAGTTGGTGACCAACATACATGTGGAGTAGAAAAATGTAATTATGTGGAATGCTTCTTTTTATCCGACTTGCTTTTTGTACCATTCAGTTTTATCAGAAGATGCCATGTTGTGGTATTTTTCACCCAAGCATACAAAGTTTTAACCCCACTACTATTAAAGTTAGAGCCAGTGTGGTACAGTGGATAAGACAGGAATGTGTATGGTTATAGTTTTTCTTGTTGGCCATTGCAAGTTGTGTTTGGATACGAATGCTGAAAAGTAGGTGCAGCCTGAACAAAGAATAGATAGGGCCAGGACAAAAACTTCCACTGAAACTGAAGTTTAAAATGAAATAAAAACAAATGCAATTAATTACTTCCCATGTATAAAATATATATGTATAAGTATAAAAGCCAAATACCACTCACTCATCATGAAATCTCCAGAACGGTAAAGCCTGCAAACTTGAAATTTGGCACGTATGTTCCTCTTGGCTTCTAGGTGCTTGCTAAGAAAGGATTTTTTGAAATGACCATCAGATCATTAGTATTTCATATACAGTATTATATTCACATGCTTTGATGCTAAGGAGTTAGATGTTGTACTCCCCTTCCTCACCTGAAAGGAACTCTGTCCCAACTGCCAGTTGCCTTATATTAACACGCTCTGATGCTACCCTTTTGCTAAACCGGGTGTGGGCGTTGCCAGCACGTGACTCATCTGGTCTGCGGGCTGGAACATTCTACTCCCCCTCCCCCTCTGTTCCAACTGCCAGTTGCCTTATATTAACATGCTCTGATGCTACAGAGTTACCCATTCTACATTAAGTTTCAGGCTTTGAGTATCAATTTATCATGCCCGATCACATAGTTTTGTAGTGAAGCATGAGTGTCCAGCTAGTAAGAATATATTTATTTATGTTTAGGTATTCAATTTCTATAAACTCCCAACTCAACAAACTGACTCCTATCCCATCATATCAAAACTTGCAATTTAGTGGCAGCTTTTGGAAGAGCTATGGATTTAACAATAGGTTTATGCATTTTGTTGTGCATTGGACAAGAGCTAGGGAAACTAGAGAAATTATCTACCCAATACATATCTAACTGTGGATATTCAGTTTCCACAGTTATGTATGTATTATAGTCATTTTTTCTCAGCCCACCTACCTCATAGGATAATCATTCTGAAGAATAACCTGGCAGAGGAGAGAGTACTATGGCTGGGGAGAATATATATGGAAGATATCTTGCTCAGGTCATCTGGTGGGCTTTAAACTGAATATGGAATAGAAGGGAGACAATATCCAGAGGCACCCTCAAAACATAAGCCCGGAGTTATAGTTGCTTACAACAAGGAATGACATACTAAGAAAAAAGGATTTCTCAGGAATACACCAGGAGAGCTATTAAGCAATGGAACAACCTGCCTCTTGGACTCATGACTGTTCCATACTTCCATGTTTTCAAGCAAGGACAGGAGAGCCAATGTTCTAGGATGGTATGAAGACGTCAGCTGTAGCATTGGATTAGAAGAACTCCAAAGACTTCAATCCTACAATGAGCTCTTTAAATCCTTGTACCAGCTACCCCACAAAATGGATTCAATGGCAGAACACATAGCATCTTTTAAGATGTCCAAAATGATATTCATGGGACTGAAGGCATGATGTGAAATACTAATACCAGGAAGCCCCATATCATAGTTTGGATACTCTTTCCCTGTATATTCTGCTTTTTTAATGCTAGAGCAGTTAATCCCTAATTGATATTCCTGTGCCTTAAACACACTTAGCTGTAGAGAAGATAGGTAGGTAGGTAGGTAAGTAGATAGAGATAGATAAATAGATAGGTAGACAGACAGACAGACAGACAGACAGACAGACAGACAGACAGACAGACAGACAGACAGTACTATGATGTATCACATATCCCAAATGCAAATACCATATACGGGCTCCTACGCTTGATTCAGTAACAACATTAAAATTCAACAGTGCTTTACTTTAGGAGTTTCAAATTCTATCTCTTATGTTAACAGCATTCAGTATTGTGCTTTACTATGCCAATATAATTAAGAGAAATATTATACACTTTTAGCAATTTCATTTTTAGCAGCCCGGGCAGTCTAGATTATGGTGTCTCACTAACTAATCCTCTAACACCCCAGGGCTGAGAAGCATAGATTAGTATAAATGTATTCTGTTTTATTGTCCATATTAATAGTATAGTATTTCAATCTACTGGGGATAGGGAAACTAATAGACAGGTTGATGGATACTTTCCTTTTAGAAAGATCCATTCAGAATATTGTTACCAACTTTGGTTATAATTTTTTTTAATACACGAAGAGCTTTTTTTAACATAACTTTTCTCTCTCCTCTCCCAGGCATAACTTTGACTAATTTATATACTTTTTAAATGTAAATTCTTTATAATTTCTTTTAGCATAATTTTTCTTAAGTTCTTTGTTGCATAAATTTTCCCAATTTAAAGCTGATTTAAATTTGTAACGCCCTCTTTTTGTTCATGACTTACCCTTTCTTTTTCAGATGTATTTCTTTCATGTTATTTTTTCCTTTGTGGATTTTGGATCAGAGCAAGACGGAGAGTAGTGCACTTCATTCAGTGCTGTTATATCTATTTGGGCAGATTTTTCAAACTGTTTCCCTTAGAAACCTATGGCAGGTTTTATGTTTAACCATTCCCATTAATGGATGATATCCATTATACTCAGCATGCAGTAGGTTTGGGCATTGGAGTGTGACTTCTAAACCCAGCATTCCTGGCTTATGCCTAATATTTTGGAGCTTTCAGTTTTTGGCTCCAAAATAGTTTAGAACGAAGTTGTTTCTTCAAAAATCAGAAATAGCTTGGTTTATTTCAGCTGCCCTGGTTCCTAAACATCATCATGAGCTTCTGATCCATCATAGAGCTTGAAAAATATGATTTAAGTCTAAGAGCTTGAAGTTGAGGCAGATTTATGAATCAACAAGCCAGAAATTTATATTGGGTGTGGATCTTAATCCAAGCCAGAAAAAAGATAATTCTTGGCCTCTTTCTAGAAGATTTTTTTGTTGTTGAGCTCCCTGAGTTCATCTTCAATGTTTTTCTGGCAGATTTCAGCTCCGTAACTAGCAAAACAATGCCAGGTGTATAGAATCAGTGACCTAATTTATACATGTTATTCAGAATTAAGATAGTCTCAGTGAAGAAATCCTACTTGTTTACCACAGAATATACATAGCCCTTGCTGTGTGTCTGTTTGGCTCAAACCCCTTTTTAACAGTTGTATTTCAGCAGTGGTCTTTTATGACCTGAATTTCTGCAGTCTATGGTTGTGATTGAAAATCAGTTTTAGGAGAGCTGAATGTGCTATGACAGAAATGTAATTTCCGTTGATGAACATCTCCTATTCTAGTCTCAAACAAACTTTGATTCCTCTGTTGAACATCTGAAGGGCAGGAGTATGATCCTGTTGAAAGGAGTTGTGCCACTAGAAAAATCTTTATATGTAGTATCTTCAAGTAAATGATGTAGTGTGGGACAACTCTGTTCAGGATGCCAGCCGCTCTGTATAAATTATTGACTTGATTTCATGGGATAGCTAAATTCAGCTTTGTATATGCTAATAGCACTTAGCAATAACACTTAGACTTATATGCCACTTCATAGTGCTTTACAGCCCTCTCTAAGTGGTTTACAGAGTCAGTATATTGCCCCCGACAATCTTGGTCCTCATTTTACCCACCTTGGAAGGATGGAAGACTGAGTCAACCTTGAGCCTGGTGAGATTCGAACTGCCAAATTGCAGTCAGCTGGTAGTCAGCAGAAGTAGCCTGCAGTACTGCATTCTAACCACTGTGCCACCATAGCTTTTTTCTTGCAACTCCAACAGTAAAGTCTTGGCTGTTTTTATGTTGGAAGTTTTTTAAAAAAAACAACATATTTTCAGTGAGAAAGCTTGCAATTGCTTTCATGAACACAAGATTCAAATCTATCATACATAATGTAGAGCCATCGAAATGACTGTGATTTAACATTACAGTAGGCATGATTTTTCTTATTTCAGTGATTTTCTAGAATCATGACTCCACTAAGTATGTCTCTCCTACACACCCATCCACAGGTGGCACGTGTAGCCATACTGGTGGTCCCGTGAGCTCAGCTCCGGCGCTTCCAGACTGGACCGGGCTGGAAGTTGGCAAATGGGCTGTTTCAGCCTCCAGAGGGCCTCCGGGCGGGGGAGAAGGCCATTTTCACCCTCCCCAGACTCCTAGAGAGGCTCTGGAGCCTGGGGACAGCAAAAAAATGGACCTTCCCACCAGAAGTTGGCAAACAAGCCATTTCCGGCCTCCAGAGGGCCTCCCGGGTGGGGGGGGAAAGGGGAAGGCCATTTTCACCCTCCCCAAACTCCTAGAAAGGGTCTGGAGCCTAGTGAGAGAGAAAAATGGGCCTACCGGGCCATCGCGTGCCAGGAGCGGGGGGAGCGGGGGGGGTTGCGCATGTGCAGGGGTGAGGTGCACAGAATTATGGATGTGGGCACCCGCGCGTGCAATCCCCCACCCCCCACCCCCACTCCTGGCATGGCAAAAAGGTTAGCCATCACTGCCCTAGAATATCCTCTTGTTTAAAGAAATTAAAGCTAATCTGAAAAAGAGAGGAGAATCAACTACTATGCCTTTTCCTGGATTATGCCATTAAACAACAACTGAGAGACAATGTGTTATAATGGCTAAGGTCCTGGACTGGGAGTGGGAAGATGGCAAATTTTAGTTCACCCTCAGCTCCCTGAATCATTTTGGATCAATCCTTAGCTTGAGGAAAAATGGAAGAGGAAATATGAGTATTTCAAGGAGAAGTCAAACCTTCAGCTATTTTGTTTAAAATATTAATTTATTATATGAAGATATCTTTTTCTCCATGCAGAGATACATTTTCCATGGGAAGAAATGTCCAGACATTCTCCCCTTGGCTTTCAGACTAAACTAGTACCATTCCCAAAAACAGTGCCTTGTCTGCCTTAGTCTTTTCTCCAGGTCTATGCTATATGGCTATCCAGTTTCTTTGGGATATGTGTATTTCTTCCATGAAAACAAAATTCTTATGCTGCGAGTGATTTTGGAATTTGTTTTGGATCAGTTTCCCATTTCTCCTTGATTTTATCCAGTGGAAAAAAGATATGTAAAACATTAATTATTCTTTTTTTTCCCAAAGAAGTTTTTCTTGCACTTTACAAGCTCTGTCTCTGTAAATATCCCCATAAGCTTAATGTTTAAAAAGACTGTACTCATGCACAACTGCACATGAAACTATGGTGTTTTTTTAAAAAAATAACTTGAAATGGCAGTCAAAGTGGAGAGAAAATTAAAACTGGAATCACTAAATCCGTTTGCAGGCTGAATTTATGCAAAATCAAACCACACTAAACAACTTGAAATGGCAGAATTTCATTTATTATTTTGCCAACTTTTGAACATGACTTCTATTGTAGTTTTACAGGTAGTCCAAATATGTGCTTATAGTAAATATATATATATATGACCTTTCCAGCTTTGCCTATTTCCGCTGTAGTGAAAATTAATGTCACGCAGCATTGGTTTTTCTTTGCAAACGCTCTTTTATTTCTTTTGTTTGCAAAAACAATGCTATAGTAGGATGATGTTCAGTTTTTATGTCATTGACCAGTTTTTCTGTGGTGCTTTCTCTCCAGGGACTCCTGTTTGGTTCTTTGTGAAAATTGCTCCAATTCGAAATGAACAGGACAAAGTTGTTTTGTTTCTTTGCACTTTCAGTGACATCACAGCTTTCAAACAGCCTATTGAGGATGACTCATGCAAAGGTTTGCTATTTTCTCTGTTGCATATGAAATATAATTTATTTTGCATTTCAAAATGGAATAATTCTCTTTCATAGATGTTTTGGTTTTAGAAGATCTGTTAAGAATCTGAGTGAAGCTAGTGAAGCTAGCGCAAACTGACTCTGAAGGTTAAACATTTTTTGAAATACATAGAAAACTACTACTTTCTGGCCTGTGCTCTATATGATAATAATAACAACAACATGTCAAGGCCACCCCAGCCAGGCCTCCGACAGTTCTTTCTTTTCTTTCAGATGTTAACAATTGATGGAACCAATGGCAAAGCCATGAAACATTTCTGATGATATTTCTTGCAGATCAAGGAACTGCAGCCTTGATCAGCAGGTTCAAAAGCTATCAGCTGAGGCAACAGTGCACTATCCTTTTCAAATTACATCTCCATGTCTTGGACCTTGAGATTGTTTTTGAAATGGCAGAATTACATTTCTTGGTCATTCCCTAGAACAGATCATATCCCAATCCAATACCTTTCCCTTGTGACTATCTTTGTGTTTTTGTTAGGCTATGCAGTCTTTGAAACCCCGTATAATGTTACTTTTTTTCTTGCAGTTTTTGTTTGTAATGTAAGCAGGATTAATTATGAGATAACTGAAAACAGCTGAGATCATTAGATAATTTGCTATGTAGACTAGAAACTGGGAGACCGTGAGTTCTAGTCCTGCCTTAGGACATTAAAGACAGCTGAATGACTTTGAGTCAGTCACTCTTTCTCACCCATCTTTTTTTTTTTGAAAGATTTTTTAATTTTTATTTCTTTTTATACAAATAATGTAAATGTACATTCTTTTATATATAATTAATCATACATATACATATTTTCTTAAAGAAAGCATACAAATAAGACATTTTACTTGCATTCGGGGTTGCTCTTCTACCCTTTCTTTTCCCTCGTTTCACAACAAACCTTCCTTTCCTTCTTCTTCCTTTCCCTTCCCTTCCCTCCCTCCTCTCCTCTTCTACTTTCTTCCTCCTCCTCTCCTTCCTCTTCCCAACTTCCCCTTCCTTTCCCTTGCTCCTCCCCTCTTTCCCCCTATTCTCTCTTTCTCTCCTACTCCTCTCCCCTGCCCTTTCTTTCCCTCCTTTCCCCTTTCTTCCATTCCTCTCTCTCCCTCTCCTCTTCATACCCTCTATTCCTCTCTCCTTTCTTTCTTCTTTGTTGTGAAATATATTGCCTCTTTGGTATCCTAGGAACTCCAATATTCTAATAATATATACTTTCTTTTCAATTTCTTTTCATTTTTACCCAGTCTGTCACTTTTATCATTATAATTGTACATTTATACTTATACTCTTCTTTCTTTTCCCCCTCCCTCTTTTCCATTTACTCTGGTGTCCTCTGGGTTTCTATTTCTTTTTTGTTCTCTCCATCATTTACCTTTATATTATCTCCCTCATTTATCTATTATTTTTTATTCATATTTCTTTTCTAGCCATTCATAAAATCTTCCCCATGTCTTGAAATACACCGATTCCTCTCTATCTTTTATTCTTAAAGTTAATCTATTCATTTCTGCACAGTCTAAAATCTTTTGAAAAAGTTTTTCAAATGTCTAAAATCTTTTTTATTACTTCACCTTCTGACGGGATTTTTTCTGTCTTCCAATTTTGCACAAATACAATTCTTGCTGCTGAGTTGTGGGGAAAAAAAAGGAAGGAGGAGGAGTATTAGGTATGTTTACCGCCTTGAGTTATTCATAAAAATAATAAATTCATGATGGGTTCATGGTACTCTCTGAGCTTGCTTGTTTTCTTGCATAACATCATCATACCTAGTTAAGATAATGAAACGTCTGTAAGAAAACAAGCAAGCTCAGAGAGCACCATGGGCCCTCATGAATTTATTATTTTTCTGGGACCCCTCATTTCAATTATGAACTACAAATATTCTCCTTTATTAATAAATTCATTTGTAAATGCAACATATCTATTCTGAAAAATAGTTTCTAAAGACTATGCCCTCTGCACATCTCCCAGCAATGAGTAATCCAGGTCAAATTACACTCTACTAAAATAGGGCTATCTCCAAATATTTAATCTTGTTTTCTTCTGTCACACTTTGTGAATCATATATAGCCTTGGGGCTTAGATTGGGTGTGCCCTACCAGTAAGGCTTAGGCAATCGGTAGGGTCTTTCTGTGACACATTGATGGAATTACTAGTGGCAGTTAGCATAAATCTGTAATTTCCATACAAATATTCATTGTTGGATGCTTCATATGAATGCTATTGTCAAAGTAGAAACTATTTTTGTTGCATATATAGATCACAAAAGTGAGACATGATATTTGACAGAAAATGACAGTAACCTATTATTTAGAAATGGCATGAGAAAGCAAAGGATGAAATTAGACCCCATAAACAATCTGCTTGTTTGTTCTAAGGCATTATCCATTCCAGACACAATAAAAGTCTAACATTTAAATAAATCATATGTTTCTATTTATAGTTTCTGTTGTTATTACATAAAACATGAATTGGTTGGCTTTAAAAAGCTACCTGATATTATTTATTCATTTAAAACATTTATATGGCTGCTCATCTTTCACACAACTCTGGACAGTTCCCAATAAAATCATTTTAAAAACTGTAAAATACACTCAATTAACAGAGTAAGCACAAAAACCTGGTACCAATCCATGCAAACATATCATTGTTTAATCTCCCAACACTTGGCAGATTATGTAAACTAATGAATATGATCAACTATAATTGAAGAAATTTACTTTTATGTTATTATCCAAAGAAAACCATGATAAATGAGAAAATATTGGGATATTTCCAGCAAGAATATTGAAATCTAAGAAGATTTGGCAAGACCTTGTGAAATTTTGGCACAAATTAAATTAAAATAATAATAATATGGAGATTACCATATTGTATATACCAGGTAAACTAGAGGTGCCATGTTATTGATACCTGGCTCAATATCCCACACTTTAGGTTGAGCTGTCTCCTTCATACAAGACAAAAACATGCCAAAATATCCTCTACAAATACCTAAGGACATTCTAGAAAGAGTATTTCAGGTTTGCTTAAATTGTTTATTGCCAACTATTAAAAAAACCTGAGCCACGATGGCGCAGTGGTTAGAATGCAGTACTGCAGGCTACTTCTGCTGACTGCCGGCTGACTGCAATTTGGCAGTTCAAATCTCACCAGGCTCAAGGTTGACTCAGCATTTTATCCTTCCAAAGTGGGTAAAATAAGGACCCAGATTATTGGAGGCAATATGCTGATTCTGTAAACCACTTAGAGGGGACTGTAAAACACTGTAAAGTGGTATATAAGTCTAAGTGCTATTGCTATTTCTATAGTGCCACTTTCTTAAGGCTGAGTGATGAACATAGTTTCCTGAGTGATGGCAGTATTATTGAGCTGAAGATCCATTGGCTGAACCCTAACAACTTAAGCACATACTAATTCCAGTATTTGGATGAATGGTTGACAGTTTTAAGGTGAATTCTTATAGGCAGAGCTGGGTTCTGAACTAATCTTTGTCCAAAAGACTAAATTCAGTCTGCACTGAATGGCAGTTCATGAATGGCTGTTTAGTGTTAAGTCTGTTTAGATCAACCATTAAATATAATTTCTAATTAGCCACTTAGGGTAAACATGAAGCCTTAGTGACACTGCAGAATAAGTTGTTTACTTAAGAAACTTAAGGTATTTTGGTTAGACATTTTTTTCCTCCTTTCAATCATGTCTGATTCCCAGGGAATGCCTGGACTGCAGTTTTCATGACAAGATTTTTCAGAAGTGGTTTGCTATTGCCTCCTTCATAGGGCTGAGAGAAAATGACTGGGCCAAGATCACCCAGCTGTCTCTGTGCCTAAGATGAGTTCAGAACTCATGATCTCCCAATTTCTAGTCTGATACCTTAACTTCTATACCAAAATGGATATTTTCATTGTATTATTTATTCTTTGTTAGCCACCAAGAATCTTTTGGATTGTGGCAAGATAGGAATGAATGAATGAATGAATGAATGAATAAATAAATAAATAAATAATCAACATTTAAAATGTCAACATTTTGGGAGATAAGGGTAATGGAGGACTAGAATAAAATAAAATAGCATTCTTTATTGGCCAAGTGTGATTGGACACACAAGGAATTTGCCTTGGTGCATACACTCTCGGTGTACATAAAAGAAAAGATACATTCATCAAGAATCATAAGGTACAACACTTAATGATAGTCATAGGGAAACAGTCAATATAAATCTTAAGGATACCAGCAACAAGGTTACAGTCATACAGTCATAAGTGGGAGGAGATAAGTGATAGGGGGAGTACTAGGAGGAGATGGGTGGAAGGAGGACTAGGAACATGCTCTTCAAGTGAACCAAGATCCTTCCCTACTGATTAGAATTTTTCAAGGAATTATTGAAAACAGCTGTTACATAGAGTTATGAATGGAAAATCTGGGAACAGATTTTTAATTTTACAAAACAATCTGCTACATTCTGATATCCAAGTGTAGCTGAGATTCACACAATGGGTTTATGTTTACTCCACATAATTTCAGGTCATCTTTTATCCATCAACTACCTTGAGCTGCACCTAAAGCATGTTATAATCTGATCTTGAAACTTTCTTCAGATTCAAAACCAACTTTTGTGTGACATGGATGTGGAAGCCTTTTTTAATTAAGGAAAAGATGTCCATTACCCTGGACATTTACTTACAGATAAGCCCTGTAAAACCTTGGCAGGATTTACTTCAGAATAAATATGGCCAGGATCAGACTGCAAAGTGCCCTGAAATACATTGAAGAATTGAATTCCATAGTTCTTTGGAATCGGGGTACACTCTGTAGCATAAAATCATGGACCAAATTACATTTTAATGTCATCCTTCTTGAAATTTTTGTTTGCTTTTAATATGACATCATTTCCGTAAAATAAATTTCAAAAAGAAGTGTTTTTTTTGACATTGGCTTTTCATGTCACAGCAAAAGTTCATTGCATTTTCATCTTGCCTGGCTAATGTGAATAATGAGTCCCTGTCTATTTTCTGTGGAAGAGAGACGGCTCTGTCTCTCCTTAGGTGTCTTTCCTGATGTGTTACAATAAGATTAAGTGGCTGTAAACTAGAATTCTGCATTCTAGGATGAAGTGGAACATCCTCAGTCCTGGTTCTATTATAAATGTTTCTGATTCTGGTCTCCCTTTTGAGTTTCCTCTATTCATTATTGCTGTTTTACAACCATAATAACAATGTCTATTTTTGTTCTGTAAAATCTCTTATCTAGACCAAGCAATGCTTTTCAAGACTTAGTCAGATGAAAGTACAAAGATACTAGGCTGCCACAGGGGAAGCTCTCACTTTAAATATTGTCTTATATTTGCAACCCTCCTAAAAATTAAAGAGCAAAAAGATCCTTTTAAAAATTAAATAGGAACTCCCTACCACACCCACTTTGGGTATATGTGTGTGAACGGGTTGTGCATATATGAAAGATCAGCAATAAAATAGACTTATTTCACTCCACTTTTCCATTACTTTAAAACCTTATCTCTCCAAAACACAAGAAAACAAAATATAATCTCTCCAAAACAAGACAAGACAAAGCAAAATCAAGTGAGCTGGTTTGTAAAATAAAATACATGTATATAAAAACAATGTACCCACAACAATGAAAACAGTGCATGACAATGCCTAAAACAAACAAACAAAAACTCACAAGAAAATAGAACTAATATAAGGGAGCAAAAAGAATAGTATGGGAATTTTCTTTTTTTTTAAAAAAAAACAAACCCTGCATGTGCTATTCAGTACCATGGTCAGCGTCAACTGTTATTACTACTGTAGTATCTCAGACAGCAATATTTCATTCTAATGAGTGATCTTACTTATTTTGCGTCTGTAGATATATAACCAGTTTGAAAACACTGTACATTCACATATACACCTTGTCCAGAAGTGTGGCAGTAGAAACATGCAGTAACTCAAAGGGTAACTGCTAAAATGAATTATCTACATAGTAGGAGGACAATTTAAAATAAAACTTTATAATTTTTCTGCATTCTAATAATTATTTATTTATTTATTATTGTGATTTATAATGAATGATTCATGTTAATTATGTGAAAGGTAGCTGCATGAGAATGCCTATGACCAGATCTCCACATTCAAAATCTGTCCATTGCTTATTATTGCCCTAAGGGGATGAGTGATAAGCCATTTGGCCTTTGTCAGTACTTTTCTTTAAAAAAAAGATTATTAATATTTAAACAAACAAAAAACAAAAGCATAAGTACAAAGTACAAAAATACAAAGAAGGAAATTTTTGTGCAGAACTGTGACCTTTTACACGACATATCGCTACTCAGTTCTTATACTCTATTTTATTTTTCTGTTTTCAATCCATTTGTACCATTTCTCCCATTATACATAATACTCCAAATCTGTCATTCCTTTCAATTCCAATGTTAATTTGTCCATTTCAGTGCAATCAAAGGTTTTTTTATTATTATTAAGTCATCTGAGGGCATCTTTGCATTCTTCCAACATTGCGCAAAGGCCAATCTTGCCGCAGTTGTTATATGTATGATCATATGTCTTGTTTTCTTATCATAAGTTTTTTTCATTATCCCCAGAAGGAACAGTTCCGGTGTATATTCCAGTTGAGCTCCAGTTATTTCCTGCAACCAATTTTTTATTTTTTTCCTATATTAAATGTCAGTACTTTTCTTAACCCAGTGTAAATTCACTTAATTGTTTTAGGTTAAAGCCTTTTTTTTGCTCAAATTCTGTTCAACTGGAGTGGTGGTAACTGTTGTGCAATTTCTTTAGGTTGGGGAAAGTTTGCTCGTTTGACACGTGCACTAACAAGCAGCCGAGGAGTCCTGCAGCAACTTGCTCCCAGTGTGCAGAAAGGAGAGAACGTTCACAAGCATTCCCGTCTAGCAGAGGTAAAGTCTGCTTCATGTTTCTATTCATGTTATGAATGTTGTGATAACTTAAAGAGCACCCACTCTCTTGGAACCAATAGCTTTCCCTCAGAAATGTAATCTGTCAGGGAATCATCTGAGAGTTAATATTGCAAATCAAGGAGATTTAAGGGTCCACGGTCCCATAACACTGATCCACCTGCCTGTTATGGCAAGGTGAACAGTTTTACACCTTACCTTGAAGCTTCAAATGGAGCTGGGCTGCTTTGAAAGACAGGCTTGAATTCTGGGGCTCTCTGAGCGATACTAAGCCCTCTGTAACTAAGGAAGAATTTTTTCTCTCTTCAGCTGAAGCCTGGGCTGTTTGTCTTTTTCCTCTATGCCCGATTGGAACTGAAGATGAGAGTTGGGAGTTGTCTCTTACCATAAATGAATGACCCTAGATTTTAGGCTGGGCCCAAACACTCAATACTCCCTGGTTCATTAAACTGATGTTTTGAAATGTTTCAATCAAAGAACTGCTTAAATTTATTCAATGAATAAAAACCATTCAGATACAAATTGGATGCGCTTCTATGGTAATTCAAACTAATTCAAAGTGTACTTTAAAGTAATGGATCATGTGCCCCACATGCTATTTGCACTATAAAAGTTAAAGAAGTCTACTGTGAATAATCTAGATTTAAATTTAGTTTTGCCATATATGTATGCTGCTGTTTCTGCCATTGAAATCATGTGTTAACCTTTGGATTAGCTGATAGAGAATACAAATGAGTCAAAATTTCACAGGTAGGTACAATTCTGTTATGCCAGAATATTACGTTTATGAGGCTGTAGTGATATTCCATTGCTTCCCTTTTTATTATCAAACAAACAGACAAGCTGCACTGATTCTTCCCATAAAAGCTGTTTTATGTACAACCTTCCTACATACTTGTTTTTTTGCCAATACTGGAAGCAAGTTATAAATATTTTGCATTCAGAATCACTATCCAGTCTTTCTAGAATCCTTTCTAGATCCTACTAGAACTGAGTAGTTCTGTGCCCAGACTGTTGATCACTGGAATTACAATACTGTTGGGATTGAAGTTATGATTCTTTTCTCTTTGTTCCTTGTTATTCCCTTTGCAGCTTTAATTCATGTCATTTTGGTTTCATTCTGCCTAAACTTGTGAACTGAGACTGGATTGTGTTATAGCATAAACTGTGTTATGAGATGTATTTTGGGCACTTAATAGAAATATGATAGTGCCATTTTGTGTGGGAGAACATATAGGCTGTCTTCCCTGATGTCATCTTGGCATTCTGTTTTTGGCATATGTTAATTGATGTTTCCTGTTTTGGCAAAATGTGGGTGTTATTTACTGAGCAACTTATGAATAACAACAGATTTTTTGGGATGTTGAAACATTGCCTCTCCTTCCTCATGATGCTTCAGCTATGCTTTTCATGCTATGACTAGGAAAAAAAAACTCAGACGAAACAGTATCCTACTTAGCTGGAGAAATTGGTTATGGCTGCAATGTTTCTTTGGCCAAAATTGATGATATACAACATAGCTTTCAATAAACATAGAATTCATTTATATACAAACTTGGGCTTATGTATGGATTTTTGAACTGGGCTTATTTGCTTAGTTCAGTCTGAATGCAATAAGATCTGTTGTAGATTGTTTTTGTATGTGACACCTCACTTGAAGGGTCCTTTTGCTTTTTGTTTGACAACTATGTACTAACTGGTGGTGCATCTGACAAGACTTCATATGAATTTAAATCAGGACAACTGGTGAGTTAATTATAAACAATAAAGGTCAAGATAATGTTTCTGCACATATTAATTGCCGGTTAAATATTGCACTCATTATTTCAACATCAGTGAGCCAAATTCTAATAGAGTTCATCAGGAATCAACAGATGTTGCAAAGAAAACCCAATGGGGAAGAGGATATCAAAAGAAATATGATTAATAATAGTAATAGCAGTAATAATTGTACCAATCTTGCAATTCCCTTTTTTGGAGAAAAGAAATACATGCAAAATACAGAAATGAAATAAGATATAGTAAGCAAAAGAAATTAAAGGCATAAATTTAGGGAAATGAACATATAAATAAGTTTAATTTATAATTATTATAATGTAATCTGGTTTATATAATTCAGTATGTTTCTCCATACCTTTCTTTCCTTCAAATAATCTTTGATTTTACCACTTATTCATTTCTTGCCTTTATCTTCAAATTTCCTACTTTTTTTTTGAGAATCTCATCAAAATTTATCCATCCACAATTTTCTCAATACTTCCCTTCCCCTTGACACTATTCACTCTTCCTTCATATTTTTGTTTTGCAAGTTGATCCTTGTTTATACTTTCTATATGATCTAATTACCTCAACTACTTCTTTCCATCTGATTGTTCACATTTCTATTTAATCCATATTCATTCAATACTCAGCCATTTTTAACACTTTTTCTTTTTGTTTTATCATGCATACTGCTTAAGTTACTCATTACCATTGTTTCCATAACCCTGAATTAAGGTCCAACTTCAGACCAAACATATCTAGCTTCTACCACCTTTGTTTGTAAGAGCAATTTTCTTTATTAGTGATCATTTTCTTTGCCTTGCCTTGAATGTGTCTGTTTCTTCTTTCTTCCTTATTAAAAAGTAGCATGAAAACTGGAGAATGATTTATACATGCTATGTAATTTTTTAAAAAGTTGCAAACTGTTCTGCAATTTTTTCTAAAAAAGGTTTTTTCCTTGAATCAAGCTTTATTTCTGATGCCTTCATGGACACATCTATCCATTGTTTTGGTAACAGAGTTTATAGTAATTATATTTAATCTCCCATGCAAGCATTAAATGGGAACAATTCTGCTTAGCTTCCAAGTCCAAATAAATTAGGCAGGTGCTTTCACCTGCTCAGGTCCTATTAACATACTTTGGAAATGACTTGGAAGAAGTGCTTCAGACATCACAGAGATGTGAACATCACATTTCTCTTCTAGCCATCAAAGAAATCCATCTTTTTTTCAGGCTTTTAAAGCAAGTTATGGCTATTTTAAGAGTCAAATTATTATTCAACTCCTTAAAGCAGCAACAGCATCTATTTTCAAGATTATGCAGAAACCTGAACAAAATAGTGTTTTTAATGAATAGCAAAGTCGTGCTGTGCCTGTGTGAAATCCAAAGGACTTCTGCATCATTTTCAAACTGTGTACATTTTAAGCGTACAATTCAGCAACAGTGTATAATGTTGCTGAATTGGGCCATCTGGAAATATCCTTTAATAGAAACTTTCAGATTCAAAGCTGTCTTTCTTACAGATGTTATTAAAATGCACTCCTGCTTGGATTCAAGTTCATGTATTCATATTTGTGGGGAAATGAAATACATTCACTAGTGGCCTTCATCTGCTTTATAGTTCAGCTTGTAAAAAGAATGCTAATGTAAGAATAATGCCCACTCATAGAATTGGAAAATACATTACATAATAGATGGCTGCCAACACTCCCAGGAACAAGAAGGAACTCTGCTTGCATTGATATACCCATTCATGTTTAACCATTTTGGACAGTTTTAATTGTTATTGTTTAATGATATGACCTTTTCAGAATTAATGTAACAATACCCAATACACGAAAAGCCATAAATACATAACCAGCATCTACATTGACTACTTCTTCTTTTGAAATACTTTTGGTATAATTCTGGATTTTAAATGCAGAAGGGGATACTTAGAATATCTGATTCCCTGGAACAGCTGCACTGAACCAGAGCAGTCCTGGGAAATGACAACCAATGTTCATGCCCCAAATCTTACGTTGCATGTCAGTATGCAATTTCCACACAAACCCCATTCCCATGATCCAATGCCACTAACAGACAGTGAGGCCCAGGTTGGAGAAGAAATGGTCATTCCTGCCTCAGTGGATACTTCAGGTGTAGTTGCCATGAACAAGGGAGATGGGGAACATCCTGACTCTGTCTGGCTCTTTTTCATCAGTAGAACTGGGCAAACTGCTGAGTCTACTTGGTGGGTGGGAGAGAAGTATAATTCTCTTATGACTTGCCTGGTCGATCCTTGACAATGAGAGAGAATTATTCTGGTAGAGTATATGGTGTACAGGAATTTAGTTCTAACCTTGAAAAGGGGATTATTATTCCTCCTCCTCCCCCCTTCCTTCCTTCCTTCCTTCCTTCCTTCCTTCCTTCCTTCCTTCCTTCCCTCCCTCCCTCCCTCCCTCCCTCCCTCCTTCCTTCTTCTTTCTCTCATCTCACATGAAAGTGACTCTGGGCAGTGTACAGCACTTAATTTAAAAAAAAACAAATACATAAAAACAGTCACTATTAAAGAATAACTATAAACACACAAACAAAACAGGAGAGAATAATGCTAACTACAGTAAGGGAGCCATTGCATACTTTTCCCAGTCTCCTGATACTCTCAGTCCTGATAACATAGCCAGGTCTTGAGGGACTTGTGAAAGAAGTCAATGTATATGAGGGATGGAACTAATCTCACTTCCAGGGAGAGAAGATACTACAAGGCAGGCACTGAGACAGAGAAGGCCCATCTCCTCAGACCTGTCAAATTTAATTCTCTGGCAGACCACAGTACACTATCTCTGTCAAACCTAATAGCATGGGGCAGATGAAATAGGGGAGTGACAGTCTCTCAGATAACCCAGCCCCATGTCATGAATGGCCTTATCTGGTCATCTCAAAGGACTGACAGTGTTGTGGTCCGCCGGCAGCCTGTGGAGCTGGCAGCAGAATCGGACAGTGAGGAGGCTGGGGAGAAAATGGGCCAGTCCTGGAGTCTGGGGAAGGCTCAGATGAGGGCTCTGTGTTGGAGGCAAAGATGGTGCCAGGGCCATCTGGAAGTTATGTGCTGACTCCGGAGCCTCCAGAGTTTGACATCCAGCAAGGCAGAGGAATGGGGGGCCTGTTCCCAGTGCGCACATGCGCAGAGCTGCCAGAAGGCAAGAACAGTTAAGACAAAAGGGGCAACTTGGGATAAGGCTTGGAAATGATTGGCCGCTCCCATAAGACATAAAGGAGGAGCAAAGGCATGTGAGCCTTTGCAGGAAGCAACTTTGTTCATGCTGGTTGGTTTAAATTCTGAAGCTTCGTTTTGACTTTGTGCTTCGTGTGGCCTTGCAAAGCTAATTGCAATTTAGGTCTTTGGCAGTGTGTCAAGGGAGATAAAGGTGGGTGCTTATCAGCCTTATCTCAAAGGACTGTGGCAGACTTCTGTCGGACTCTTTACAAACTATTTGTGACTCATCACGGGCTGGGAATGAACAGAATTCACAGCCGTTGAAATAAAAAGAGGGTTTTGGGGACTAATTGTGTGCTTTTTACTGTCTCAGGAATTCTAGATCAGAACAGACAGACCTTTTCCCCCTGCCAACTGTTTTTCCTCAAAATGTATCTTTTTCTCACTGTGGCATATAGGTGTTTCCTGTATTGTGATCTAAGTGCATTGCCCAAGAGTGATTAAGGAGTTTTACGAGAGGATACAGACTTTAATGTATGTATTTATATACACACAGTTAAAATCAAGGTTAGATATTAGTTATGAAACAAGTTCCTGCATTCTTATTTTGATCATCTCCCTCCTGTAAACTGCCTGGAGTTGCTTGACTAAATGGCATAGATATGTTGGAAATAATTAGGTAAGTAACTAATATATAAATAGCTTCCCATATGTTCCAGTCTTCTAAAGATATTTGAACAGCACATTTCACTGGCTTAAAAATAGCAGTGCTGATGATATATCAGGCAAACTCTACAGGGAAAGTAACTTTTTAGGGAAGATGGTCCATGTAAATTAATATGAAAATGTTTTAGTTTTTAGGTTTCAATTTAAAAATGATTTTACCCTTTATTTATTTATCTCTCCCCTCCCCCATTTCTATAGGTCTTGCAGTTGGGCTCTGAAATCCTCCCGCAATACAAGCAAGAAGCACCAAAGACCCCACCACATATCATTTTACATTATTGTGTTTTCAAGACTACTTGGGATTGGGTGATTCTGATTTTAACTTTCTACACTGCAATTTTAGTCCCTTACAACGTCTCATTTAAAACCAAACAGAACAATGTGGCTTGGCTGGTAGTGGACAGCATCGTAGATGTCATTTTTCTGGTAGACATTGTGCTTAATTTTCACACCACATTTGTTGGGCCTGCCGGAGAGGTGATCTCTGATCCAAAGCTGATCCGCATGAATTACTTGAAGACCTGGTTTGTAATTGATCTTCTCTCCTGTTTGCCATATGATGTGATCAATGCATTTGAGAATGTTGATGAGGTGAGTCTATGATTTTTGTTTCCATATTACTTTAAACCATGAACCAAAACAGAATGAAAAGAGACCAGTTTTCTGGATTTATACCAGCTGTTCTCTGTTCATATTATAATGCTTACCTTGATGCTGTTTTGTCATCCTATACTACAACTATTAATTTATAAGAACTTCAAATACAGTCTATGTTTCAAGTGAAATTTACTTTCTTTTAGGCTCAATTATTTTCTTTTGTTATTTTGAAATAAAGTAAGATGTATAGGCAACTTGAAACTAATACATAGGTGAAAGAATATGGGAATGTTTGTGGGGCAAGAGGGCATCATCCATTTTGCTAGAATGTGATTGAAAAAGAAAACCTTCTTTGCATGTGTGGGTGTGAATAAAGTCTTAAAAATAAGATAAAAACTACTATAAACTAATACAAGGTGAGGAAGAAAAAAGAAAAATATTGAAGAGAAGGCTAAAAGTGAGAAAGAAAAGGTAAAAGAAAAAAAAGAAAAGAAAAAATTCTGATCTTTTTATTTATTTATTATTTAAATTTCTATACCGCCCTTCTCCAAAATAGGACTCAGGGCAGTGAACAGCCAAAGTAAAAAACAATACATACAAAATTTAAAAGCAATTTTAAAATTTTAAATAAATTAAATAAAATAAATAAATTAAATAAATAAATTAAATAAATTAATTAAATAAATTAAATAAATAAATTAAATAAATTTTAAATAATAAAATTTTAAAAGTTAAAAATACAATTATACACTTATCTTTTCCCCTTAAGTTACATGACTTTCTTCTTTCTATAATCTATCCCATCTAGTAATCAAACCTATAAGTCATACATTCATTGTTTTGTTTTATGCCAAAAGCTTAGTCAGCAATAAATGCACATACTGTCTTTTCTCTAATCAAATAATTCAATTTGGCCATTTCAGCAAGTTTTATCATCTTCACCAGCCATTCCTCCATTGTAGATATTGCCAAGTCTTTCCACTTTTGTGCATTCAATAATCTGGCTGTGGTTATCACACAGAAAAACAAACTTCCATGACTTTTCCTGCTGCTTCAGTACCAAAAGGAAGACTTCTGGTCTCAATTGTATATTAATCTTTAAAATCCTCTGAATCAGTATAGATATTTGAATCTAACATTTTTAGTTTTTTACATGTTCAGCATGATAAAACAGGATAAAATGACCCTTCTTGTTTAATTTTCCTACGTAAGTTTGAAATGCCTTTATACATTCTAAACAGTGGTGGGTTGCTCCCGGTTCGGTCTTGTTCTTCCGAACCGGTAGTAACGGCAGCGGGAGGCGCCGCTCACCCACCCGGGCATCATTATGAATGATCTGCGCATGCACAGCTTATGCGCATGCGCAGAAGCGCACGCTCCTGTTGCGAACCGGTAGCGGAGGTAAGTAGAACCCACCCCTGATTCTAAACCTTTTCTCTGGTGTCATATACAACAACACATTATTTTATAAATGTTCTCTTTAAGATTATAACATACTATAGTGTTTCAGTCCTTTCAACCACATTACCCATTGTCTGATCTCTTTGTTATAACCAAACCTTTTAGCCTGTTTTATCTTACATGCTTCATTATTCTTTCATTTGTTCTTCTGTTTCAAAGTTCAATAAACGTTTATACTTTTTAGCAACTGCATGTTCATCATTTGTGCACAATTCTATATCAAAATCGGTCTTACAGTGTTCAGTATCATAGGCAAGATAGTTTTGTGTTGAAGATCTGTGATCAATTTTTCTTGGAAAATAATTTGTACTATACAGGTAGCCTTTGATTTATGAACACAATTGGGACAGGAATCTCAGATGTTGAGTGAAGGAGTCATTAAGTGAGATGCCACATTACTGCTTCACTCAACAGCCATAATCTTAGTACCCCTGGCTGCAGTTATTAAGCGATCTTGTGAGTCCCAGGTAAGGAACACAGAAGCACAGGGGTGGGGTGGAATGGAGGAGACCCTGGGAAGCCCAGCATTGTCAACACATAATATCTCTCTGCTAAGCTGCTGAAAATCCCCTCCATAAATATCCAAACAAAATTTCCAGCCGCTGAGCAAACAGACACTTGTATGTGACTTTCACTGTCCTCCCCTACCCTTCTGAGAGACACCCTGCATTGTCTTTCTGCTTAGGAACCGAAAATCGTCCCTGTGAAATTCCAAGCCGGATTTTCAGTCCTTGAGCAGGGAGACACATGCAACCTGAGCCAGGCCTTCCAGGATTTCTCCACCTTCCCCAGAGTCACACTGTACTGTGTTTTGATTCAGAGGATGAAAATCCTGCTTGCATTTGGGCTCCCTCTTATCTCTGGAGGGATGGTGGTGGCTGAAAGAGCTCCCTGCTATATCAAAATTTATAATAACACAATAAAAAGGATCTCTTTCCAGAGATTGTTGAAGGTGTACTAGGCCTGGAATGAATGAAAGTCTACAGAATATTTTCAATTTCACCCATTATGTCTAAAATAATTTTTAAATTATATGTCCAACATGTGCCAACCAGTTTATAGCTTTTTCGCAATTAGTCTAATCCTCCCACCATATCTGATAACGTAATATTAAATAATCTTTTCTATTGCCCTGTAATATTTTTTCTTGTTCTTAAAATTCTAACAATATATTAAATAAACCTTCTAAACATAGTTTGAATAATTTATCAATATGTTTAAAGGTATTTATGTTTTGGTTCTAAGAATCTTGTTTAAATAGGGTAATGATAACGGTTTCCTGCTTGAACAAGGGTTTGGACTAGAGGTCCTCCAAGATCCCTTCCAACTCTATTTTGAATTGAAAAATATTACTGTATTTTCCGGAGTATAAGACGCTCTGGACTATAAAACGCACCTACCTTTTTTGGTGAAGAAAACAAGAAAAAGAAATCTGCCTCTGCCTCTGCCTCTCAGAAATTTTGCCTCGTTGCAGCAAACAGCCTGCTTTACTTTCATTTTTATTTTCAGCCTAGCTTGATTAGCACAAGAAAAAAAAAAATCTGCTCCCAGCAATTTACCTCCTTGCAGCAAACAGGAGAGGCCTGCGCAAAACAGCTGAGAGTAAAACAGCTGAGAGTCAGGAGGCCGATCCAATCAACTTGTGCTAATTAGGCTGTGCTGAAGCTGAAACGAGCTGTTTCTTCTTGCTGCTTGCTGCAAGGAGGTAAACTCCTGGGAGGTAGAGGCCAAAGGGTGGGGGCCAGTGGGTGGGTGGGGTTATACATTCGGTTTATAAGACACACCTAAATTTTCACCCCCTTTTAGGGGGGGAAAGGTGCATCATATACTCTGAAAAATATGGTATTTAAGCTAAAAATTAAATACTTCAGCATACTACTGTGTTCAGTTCATAAATTCTATACTTTTATTGCCTTTTAATATTCTTTCTGCTTCATTATTCTGCTTCTAAAAATTCCTGTCACAGTACTTGGTGTTCCTAAGGATAAGGTGAGTTAGTTTTGCTATCAAATCAGTAGCTTTCGAAAGCCTGCTAGGAAATTAGGAAATATTGAAATAAACTCTGGAAACATCACCGATTTAGCTTTGGTGACTTCATGGAACACAAAGGCTGTATGGGTATTGCCTTCCTGTATTCTTTAAAAGCTCTCTACATGAAAGGAAAAAAATCCAGAATAATCTTTATCGGTCTCAATGAAGACAACTACAGGAGAAGTTATTTTAAAAAATGTATCGTCTCTTCCAATCTACCTGTATACTGCACAGTTAGTGACCAAGACTATACAGTGAGAATATTAAAATCATTGCATCAAACATATAAGCATAGTGCTAGAAAGATACTGTACAGCCTATGATGATGACGACGCATATACTAAAACTAGATGCAGCAGAGAACTAACAAAAACCCTGAGTTACCTGGGAAGCACCAAACCTTGATAAACAGCATTCATTGCACCTCTCCCACTGATAACAGAAGAACAATGAATGAGAATGTAAAATGGCTAGATCCATGCTAGATGTCCTCAGGCCAAGTCAGGAACATGTTTGTGTTCTTAAGTCCTCTACTAGAGGGGAAAATGAAATGTCTAACTCTTCCCATAGGATGCATCCTTATGGAAGCTTCAACAAAAAATGTAACCCTGGGAAAACAAAACACAATTGCTGTAGCTACATAATGTGTATCTGAAGCGCTAAAGAGCCGTGGCTGTTCAGGAGTGTGTTTGGGGATGTGGAAGATCAGTATTTCTTGGTGATGCAATTATGTTCATGTATTTTTATAGGAGGTTGTTGTTTTTTTTGGCTGATCACCCTTTTTATTCAATGCTAATTGTGGATGTAGTTGCTCAGAGACTTTGGGAATTGGCTGGCATAGAAGCTGCAGTAAATGGATAAATGTGTTGAAACAAATAAATCATTATATGGCATATTGTACATGGGACATATTAAGCTATGGTTATATTTCCCATGACATGCTAAATCAGAGATTAGACTAACTGGTTGTTTGAATTCAAGCTTGTTTGAATTCAAGAATATGACTAGTGTGAACTATATAAATGACTCCAGTTGCCATAATCCACTCCAGTGCTTTGAAAGATGTAGAAAATTGCAGATTGAAGAAAACACAGATTTTAGTCTTTTAAGGGATATGACAGAAGTCCTGAGGAGAGTTTTCTATGGAAAATGATTGGAAGAGCAGCTGTTGAAATCCTGCATTCATGTAGGATGAAAACAGTGAATTTATTATTCTGAATTTTTGAGCAGATTCTGCTACTCCCAGTTTCTTCTTCCTAGAAGCTTCCTGTTCCAGCTTCTGTACAATCGCTAGAACCAGTGCCAATAGACTTTGAGACAAAATAATCAGATAATAGAATTAAAAATATGGTTTATAGGCAAGTAAGTGGGGAGAGGAGAAAATGTCTTTTAAAGATAAATCTGGAGGCTGCTTCTCTTAGCCATATTGTGTAATACTTTTATTTTACAAAAAAGAAGATAGAATATAATATGACTACAGGGACAACTGAAATGGTTTCAAT